TCTCTCGTTCCAAATCAATGATTTTCACCCACTGCAACGCGGTGGTAAACAGCTTTGGCGGTCGCCTTGTCGAACTCCCTTCGAGATTGGCATGTTAAGGGGTGATGAAGAAGCTGTACCATCTTAATGCAGTTCTTGTAGAAGCAGCCATTTCCCACGCAAGATGGGGCCAGCTCTTGATCGACGAGCGCTGACAGTATGGCATTATTTCAACGTTGTCAAACTCTTTCTCACAGTCATCGAAGGTTAGGAAGAGAGGTAGGCGTACTCTCGCCAAACCTCGATAATCCTCGACACTATGTGATCCACGCAGCTGAATCCCTTGCGATATCCAACGTGTTCTACAGGTTGGGCTTCATCCAGTGTCCTTGATATACAAACGAGAAACATCTCTTCTCTTTGATATAGAATCTTTGATATACAAACGAGAATCTAATCTTCGTGAAGAGCTTTTGAAACACGCTTAGCAGCCATATTGGACGGTAGTTCTGAAGATCTTACCCATTGCCCTTATGAAGAAGGATTGTTTGAGAAGATCTCCACTTGTCCTCTCCTTTTGAAGGTAACACGTTAGATGTCCCGCAAAGATCTTGTGTGGGCGATGTTCTCCAGCTCGTAAGAGATCGACCGAAACGAGGTCCGGTCCTGGAGCCGTGGCTGCCTTCATGGTCTGGATTGCGGCGCGTACTTCAGCAGTAGAATCCGTGGTGGCATTTCTCCACTGGGAATAACGAGGTTTGACATGAGTGTTGACGAGCAAAAGAGATTGGTGTGGAATCTCTTCGTGATCGATTCCATCTTTTGACGGGAAGCTTGATTTCGTTTCCCGGAAGGCGATCACGTGATAGCTGATGCGCCGTGCATTTCGAGAAGGGGGTGGAGTTCGGCGTTGGTGGAGACTGTCCTGGCGTTGAAGGTGCAGAGCATAAGGCAGTCTCCATGGCGAGTCGTTAATGCGTCCTTTATGTCCGAAATTCATGGCGTGTGCAACCTGATACTGGTCTTGATGCCATCCGACGCCGGAGACTTGATTCAGTGTGCAGGGCTTTTTTTCTTCGTACATTCTTTTTTCTTACACATGCTGTGCAAGCAATTGAATTAATCCAATACTCAGCAGCCTTGCCGGGTCCTGCCAAGCTGTCACCACAAGCAATCGCTGACCTATGTGGATCAGGGAACCACCTAGCGACTTAATCAGCCGGACAGTGTTACTTCTGGCATGGTCTACTCTTAGCTGGGCATCCGGAGAGCCGAAAACGTCGAACTCCTTCTCAGCTTGGGA